AATTACTTTGATTTCAACGATACATAGACGCTACATCCCTCCTCTTCTTCAGATGATTGCTTACACATAGTCCTTCATCCACGCGGGCTGGCGCCGCGCGCGGTGACGCATGGTCGGGGAACACACTGGCGCCGGAGACGACGTCGTGGCGTGGGAGGACGCAGTAGCGGCGCGGAGAGTAGGGGTGTGGCGCTGCATGGACTCGAGGATGTCATCCATCGCCTGTTCTTCGTCCTCTTCTTCGGAGTGATCAGCGTCTTGTGCATGGAGGTGCGGGCGCGCTCTGAATAGCGACGCGTTTCTCGTCACCTGGTGACATCCACGTGATGCGGTGACCATGGTGCCTTGGATTCCGGTTACTTCGTACGGCGCTGGGCAGAACCGAGGTGTCAGCTTTCCCTTCTTGAATTCGGGCAGCAGAACCTGGTCTCCGATCTGAAGATTCGTTGTCTTGGCTCCACGGTCAGCTTGTTCTTTCACCTTCTTCTTCGCGGCTGTGTCCGTCTCGCGTAGTTTTCCATCCTCCGGATGTGTCATCATCGGAGACGGCAGCATGATCTTCACTGTGCGACCGTACAAGTAGTTCAGCCGGGCTCTCCTGAGTAGTGGTGTGCGGTGTCGATCGGTAGTTTCGTAGAAACTTGTCCATTTCCTGCTTGATCGGGCGTTTCTCGACGACAGCAGCTTTCACAGCTTTTGCTAGCATTCTCATGAAACGTTCTGCTTCTCCGTTAGTTCTTGGCCACAGCAGGGTGATCTTGCGGTGCTTGAAGCCGATGTAGTTCGCGAACTGAGCGAACTCATGTTCATTGAACGGAGGTCCGTTGTCTGTTCTCATAACATCGGGAATCCCGAACATCGAGATGTCGTCCAGGATGGGGATGATGGTACGAGCAGAGGTTGATTTTGTCGTATGGACAACCGGGAATCTGGAGTAGTCGTCGATTACAACAAGTACCCACGTCTCTCCACGTACCCCGGGTTTGTCTGCTCCTTGATCCGCGTACCCTGGGTCCGTACGCTCGTTGATCCGCGTACCCTGGGTTTGTCCGCTCGTTGATCCACGTGCCCCGGGTGTGTCCGCTCGTTGATCCGCGTATCCCCGGGGGTGTCCGCTTGTTAATCCGCGTACCGTGTGTCTGTCCCCTCGTTGATCCGCGTTCCCTGGGTCTGTACGCTCGTTGATCCGCGTACCCCGGGGCTGTCCGCTTGTTGATCTACGTACCG